TTTTTTTTTTTTTTATATTTTATTACAAAAATGAATGAGATCTGCAAAAAAATATGTAAACATAAACAAGTAAACAATTTTTAACTCAATCCTAATATTAATAAAAAAAAAAAAATTTTAAAGTAAACTTTTATATAATAAATTTACTTTGTTTGAATAAGCATTTAAGATTTAATTAAATCAAAAATTTTTTTTATTACTTTAAAATAAATACTTAGAAAACGGGTAGTATAAGTAATAAAATAGGTTGGTTGAACACATACTCTTAAATGAGGAGACAAGAAGATAATAATATTTAATCAAAATTAGTAATACCAAAACGCGATAATTTTAAAAAAATGTAGAAATGGTGAATCTAATAAATAATTATTAACTTGGGCTTTTTATAAAAAAAATAATAATAATAATAAATAATAAGTGGGATAAAATCCGTCAAATGTGTTTAAAAATCAGATCATCACTCGACGACATTGTTCATATTACTAATTGTGGTTAGCAATTTATCATAATAAAATATATTACATGAATTAATAAATAAAAAAAACTTCAAACCAATCTGACAAAAGTTCGGCATATACCGACCTTTTAATAATCACAAAACGTTAAAATATTATCTATATTTTATCTATACAAATGTTTACCTAATAAATTACATAAATATTGATTATTATTCCAAAAAAAAAAAAAAATCTCATGATTTAAAAACGTTAAGTTATTTTTTAGGAAAGGGAAATTCAAATAAGCCTAGTGTCAATCCTAAAAAAAAAATCATTGGTTCGAAAGTTTTTTTCTTTGTTCGATTTGAACCAATTAGTGTTGCGATAATTTAAATATGTTAATTAGTATGATTTTTTATCAAGATTAATTAATTATATATATAGTGAGCGCAGTAATAATACCGTATATAAATGGTAACGACATAATAATAATTCGTGCGCGATGACCAAAAGAAGAAGGTCGAATTTTAAAATATCATATGTGTTATCAATCGATTTTAGATCCTGCGGAGCAATTGATAAATTTAAATAGTTTAATTAGCGTACTATCATTATCAATATTTTTTCGTGATGATAAACAGGTTATTATCTACAAATATGTTGATTATTACGCATTTACAATATGCATTTATAATATGTATAATAATACGTTAATTGTAAAATGTTTCTGTAAATGTTCGCTTTTTATTTTTTTTTTTATTTCAAGTAAAAATTTTTAAAATTCATGATATTATCATCTACTTTTATTTTTTTTTATTTCAAGTAAAATTTTTTAAATTCATGATATTATCATCTACAAATACGTTAATTACGCATTTACAATACGCATTTATAACATGCTAAAGCATATATATACGTTAATAATTGTAGAATGTTTCTGTAAATCTTCGCCTTTTATTTTTTTTTTTTATTTCAAGTAAAATTTCATGCTTTCTCCCACGATACCTGTAATAAAGTAAAAATTAAGAATATAATTGACTAATGATTACCATTATCGCAATTGCCGCGTAACAAAAATTTAATACACTGGTTATTAATATTGTAAGTATCATGTTATTGTGGTTGTTCAAAAGAGAAAGGAGAAAGTGGTTAATCGCATTTTGTTCATTAAACTTCACTATATGCTGGAACACTCTTAGAGCTTTAAGGTACTAGAAACTCTGTAAAAAGGAATTTTACCAAAAAATGCACGTGATGGTTAAAAAAAAAAAAGATTACGATAAATTGAACTCATCAAAGTATGATCATTTGTTGAAATTGAAATAAAATTTTTATTTATTTTTTGGGATACAATGATTATTTTTAAAAATATGAATGATTTATGGGATGAAAAAAAAAAATAAATTTTTTTTTTCGCGTTCATTATAAGTACATCGAATTTGAAAGTCAAAGAAAATAACTGTGAGATTTTTTNACAATATGCATTTATAATATGTATAATAATACGTTAATTGTAAAATGTTTCTGTAAATCTTCGCCTTTTATTTTTTTTTTTATTTAAAGTAAAATTCATGATGTTATCATCTACAAATACATTAATTACGCATTTTACAATATCAATATGCATTTATAATATGTTAATTACGCATATATACAGTATAATACGTTAATTGTAGAATGTTTCTGTAAATCTTGGCCTTTTTATTTTTTTTATTTAAAGTAAAAATTTTTTAATATCATTTACAAATACGTTAATTACGCATTTACAATACGCATTTATAATATGTTAATTACGCATATATATAATACGTTAATTGTAAAATGTTTCTGTAAATGTTCGCTTTTTTTATTTTTATTTTTTTTTTTTTTTTTTTTTTTTTTTCTTTTATATTGATTTCTTATTTTTTCTCTATATAAAAAAGGTGAATGTAGGTTTAGAATCGGAAATGATATATATGACTTATTTATATGCGCGCTATTATACTATTATACACTATAGTGTACATACGAAAAAGATTAATTGAAAGTGCTTATAATTAATTGATTAATAATATGTGTATGATGATGGCTGATCCTTAGAGGATAAAATCTCATCATTATATTTTCCAAAATTGTGAAGTTTATCTTCACATGACAAAGGTGAAGGTGAAGGATATATATTAAATGTAGGGGGAGTAACTTCGCTAGTAATTGGATTAGGATAAGTTGGCGTAAGCCACGTCGTAGGAATAAAATGAGGATTTGTCATTTGAACGTTATGACCTGGCTGAATTGACGATTGATTATTCAAGCGAGGTAATGGGAAAGAAGTCGAAGTCTGATTTGTAAAATATTGGGAAAAAAGTTGTGGTGAAGGTATTTTCGAAATCATTGTAGGTGGTATAGTATGTGAATATAAATCGGGATAAAATTGTGCAGATGTAAGTGATGTAAGTGACATGCTAACTAATCCATCTTCGTCTGAGCGCGGTGAAGATGGGGGCGAAGAAGGGAGTGAAGGTGGGAGTGAAGGCGGGAGTGAAGGTGAGAGTGATGGGAGGAGTGAAGATAAGAGTGGTATGGCAGGTAAAATTTCTGCTTCATTTTTCACAAGCGAATTTTTTCTTTGTCTCGTTTTATTTACTTTACTTGATGTATCATATTGTTTAATTATAATATTCTTAAGTTTTCTTTTAGACTTTACCAATTTATAATTCGGGTATTTTTTTTTATGAAGTTCATTGACATCTTTAGCTAAATTTTCGAAATATTTTTTTGTTTCATTGGGAATTATTTCTCGCCAGATTTTTCCCGTGAATTGTCTTGATACAACCATTATTCGTTGTTTATTATAATGATTTGTTTCGCAAATATTTTCAGCAATCTTTCTGATGCCAAGCTTCATGAGTTGATTCGAACATAATATATTTGAATTAGGCGGTCTTTTGGCGTGACCGTTCTTTTTTTCGGATTTCGGTAGGAATTCGCTTGCGTTCGAGATACCGCCAGTTTTAATCGCATTAAGTAACTTGTCAACGGTTTCGTTAATATCGTCTAAATGTTCATTGTAATGATTTAAAATATCTTGTTCGTTAGGATTTCGTTTTGCAGCCATCGAGAATAAAACGTGAAAAAAATTTGCAAAAACCGAAAACTGTTTTTATATAGAAATTTTCGAATTTATTCAACAAAGTGATGATTTAAATTATTTGATAAAAAAAAAAAATTTTTTTTTTTTTATTATATTACATATATACATATATACATATATACATAAAACAAATATATATATATATTTGTAAATATATGTATATATTAAATAATTAAAAAAAGCAATGAATAAATTTGCTTGATTTACAATTTTGGAATTCTTATAAAGTTTTCAAAGTCAGAGGGCTAAAATATTCGATTAAACGGACTATTTATTAAAAAATTGGCATAAGTAATTAAATAATAATTTATATATATTTAAATTGGAATATCAATTCCGAGCCTAAGTATTATAAAAAACAATATAAATAAAAATCTATTTATAATGACAAAGTCGATATACCCTTTTTTATATTAAAAAACTTCGAAAAAATAAAAGGTAATTTTTTCAAAGTAAATGTGATATGAAATTAAGTGATAAAAATCTGGCTTTAACCAAATTTAGGAATGGATTCAATGAGATAATTCGATAATTCATTCTAAATAAAGTAAAGTAAAAAAAATTTTTTTTTTTTTTTATGAACAAATTAAAATTAAATTAAATTATGTCACAGATACGCAATTCTTATACTAACACTAATAAATTATTTCATAAGGATCGAAGAATTTGACAAAAAATGATGGTTTGGTTATTTGAAAAATATCGAAAAAAAATTATTAACGAACTACTCCGATATGCGCTATGATGATCAATAAGTACGGCTGTAATTTTACATCCTTTCTATAAAAAATTTTCATTTTGTAATTTGATCAAAACTCCGCATTAAGTTAAAATTTCATTGTTTAGGAAAATCTCTTTTTTTTTATAAATCACCAAATTTAGCATAAGAACAAATAATTTACTTCATTGTTTAGAAAAGTTAGAGAATATTCTTTTACCTGCTGGTTAACTCAGCAGGGGGACACTACATCCGTTCGTTCTAACTGAATTTGTTTTTTTCCCTTTTTCTTAGAAAAGTAACAATTCCTATCAGAAATAACTTAAGTAAACAAATATTTAAATTTTTTACACATGTTTTCTATGGTTTCTATTTTTAAATTTATGGAATACTCTCAAAGAAATTCGTTATTCTATTCTGATTCTTTAGAGAAAATATTTTATAATAATTTCATATAACTAAATTGGGGAAGAATTTATTATTCATGTGAAAAAAAGAAATTTTAATTGTCCAAAGACATTAAAAAATTTTCAAATATAATATTCTTTTTTTTTCCGCAAATTTATTTCTTTTTTTGGGTTGAGCTAAAAATATCTTTACATAAAATGCGTATTATGGATTTGGGAACTGGGCGTTCATATGAGGTGGTGCAAAGTAATCAAAAGTAATCGAAATAGTTGAAATCATAACAAATTAGTCAATGATGTTAAATAATGCAAAATTTTATTCATCCTAGATTTTGTATTTCGTTAACCGATACCAAATTTATCCTTAATTAACAGGTTAAAGGTATAAGGAGAATAGGAGATAAGGAGTGACCCGGAACACAGAACTGCCAACCCGACAAAAAGAAAAAATATATATGTATAGTAAGTATATGCTTAATAATTTTATTTATTATTCGATTGGAGCATAATTCCCTCATTGTAATTTATTAGTAATATAATCGGGTAAACAATTAAGCAATAAATCAATCTTATTTATGAATATTATCCGTTAACCTAATATAAACTTAATAAAATAAGGAACCGATATCGCACTCCGAACCATTGGAATGGATCTATGGAATTAGCTATGCTCCAGTTTTTCGGCAGAACACCTATTAACTAAACGTACAGGAAATAAGTAAATGTTATAAAATCATTTATTTTATCATACAACAGTCTTATTACGATTCATTATGAATATTATCCGTTAACGTAGTAAAAATAAAGGAACCGGTATCGGCGTATCGCCCACGAACCAGTTACACCAGAACCGCACCCTCGCAGCGAGGGTGCGGTTAGGGTTAGGGCCTCGCTATTCTTATTAACGTACGATTGCAACCTTATTACGATGTTAACGTAGTATAAACTTGAAAAATAAGGAACCGTTATCGCACTCTGAACCAGTTACAGTATATGGAATTAGCTGTTTTTCGTTTAGAACCGGATCCAATCATACTCCCTCGCTATTATTATTAACTAACGTACGGGAACAAATAATGATAGATAATGTTTAATAATTTTATTAAATGAACATTTTTTCAATACTAATAGAATTTTTAAATAACCCATCAGAATTGAAATTAAAAATCTTCACTGTTTTAAACCGTGATATTCACTCATGGATTACACTAATAATGTAGATTATATTAATATTTCCTACCTCGACTCGTTTAATTGAACGCTCGAACACAATATCATTAGTAATGGAAATACCAAAAAAAACCTTTGATCTATAAAGTTTAAAATGATTAAATAGATATTATTTCGCGGTATAATAACAATAAACAATAAAGATGTGTAAAATTTCGTTTGAAACTTTTTAATATTTATGACTACGGCTTTTGCTGTAAATATGTTTTTTAATAGCGAAAACAAAAAGAACGCCCATTTGCTGATCTGTGACGTCTTTATGAAACATTATAACATGTGCATTCTGATGATGAAACATAATATTTATTTCAAATATAAATATAGTTAAATTATGATTCGTAATTGTTTCAATTATTTCATAAGCAAAAAAAAAAATGTGAAATCAGCCGGTAAAAATATATAAACAAAAAAAAATATGGTTCATCTCTAATATCAATGTATTATAAATATTTATTCATGATTTTTTAGAAAGAAAAAATAAGATTTGATGATCAACATTTTTATTGATATGAAACATTTGGGCATATTACAAAATATAAATATTAGATAAGTATTTTAAGTATTTTGGCTGAAAAGTGGTAATTCAAACTTGTTTAACGTAAGGCGTGTAACAAAGAAAAATCTTTTTTTTTTTTTTGTGTGCGCGCAAATAAATAATTAATTTTACAAAATCGCATGTACTATAGCATTCTAAAAAAAATTCTTTTTTTCATGAGACGATCTTCTGTGTTTTAAACTCTACTAGTGTATTAACAGGATTTTTGGACACACAAGTTTTTGTGATTATGACTCATGAAATTCTTTTTAAAAAAAACCAGTTTATACATAATAAATAGATCTTCTAAAAATCTTTTATTCTCATGATCTATGATCTCAAAAGATAAACGCGAGAGAAATCAAATAATTGTAAAGAAAAACGTCTTGCAATAAAAATAATGATGTCATCATGCATATTGCGATCTCATAATCGGAAATTTAAAAGAAACCGTGCATATTAAACGCAGGGCAATTAAATATGCAATTAATACATAATCATAAATTAGATCAAATTAGACGTTTGATATTGTGCATCTTCTTAAATTTATCAACAAAAAAAAATTTTGCCAATTGTAAATGATAACAATGTTGATTTTGTAAAATACACGTTAGTCCATAAATAGGTTCTTAATTAGTAATGAAAGATAATTTCATTTTTCGGGAAAACAAATAATAATACTAAATTAACAATGAGATTTGTTGACTCGGTACATACTCAGGATAAAGACATTCTCAATGTACATTTCGGATAAATGACATGTTTGTATTTTTTTCATTTTATGCTTAAATTTCGGCTTTACCATTTATAGCTCAATTAAAAAGAATTTCCGGATTGTGGCTTGGTGATATTATGATTTTATTCTAATAAAACTTAATGTCACTTTTTTATATTTAATATTTCCACGTGTATTTGGTACTTCGGTAATATTCTTGATATGTTCACCGAGAGAGGTGTGTATATAACTAATCTAAAAATATATTATGTCAAGCGTGGATTACTTTAGAAAGTATATAACTGATCATTATCATTCTAATAATTTTTCAAAAAACAAAAATTGATACACTCAAACCGCCAAATTTGAGAATTAGAATGGGTTCATCACGGAATAAACCCTGAAATATCATTGAATCAATATACAGTAACCTATGATTTAGAAGGTAGATCAACTTCTAATTCTTAATTCTAATCAGTTGTGGAGATTAAGTTGAATTATTTTTATAAGTACCTAAGATCTAATATTTTCTTTATAGAAGGAATTTACAACATATTAATTGTAAATGATTTTTAATGTCAAATTCTCAAAATTTATTGCAAAGTCTTTTAAATCTTTTAATATATGAATTTAACTTTCAATTTACAATACCAAGAGCTAACTTATAAATAATATTACAGGGTAATAAGTTATACCAGATTAACTAAGCAAATAATGGTTAATAATAATTATGTTATACATACTGTATACATTTATTTTGTATAAATTTTTTTTTTACAACATTGTCTTGTACTATATAAAGTGCAATTCTTTATTTTTTGTTATTTCTACTAAATTTTCAAGAAAATATATTTTGGTTTTTTATATAATTTTATGTATTACTAGCATTTTAATACAAAAGTAAAAATCATTAAAAAATATATAAACTATTTTATATTGTTTATCTATTTTTAATTTTTTTTTTATTTTATTTTGCAAAAATAGAAATTTTTTACTTATTAATTTAATTAATTATATATTATTATATAAAGCATACTATAAAGCATACTAAATAAATAATATTATTTTATTTATTTTAAAAATATTAAGGACCAAAATGATCATTATAAGCTTTACTTCAATAAATTTAATGTATAATTTTTATATTATATAATAAACATTAATACAATATGCCTAATAAGTTCTATAAAAACATATTAATAATAATTATTTTATACTTTATATATACTATTATTATAATAATTATACTTGTATATTTATATTATATGAAATAAATTATATAAACTAATTAATTATTGATATATTTTTTTGTAATACTTTTTTTAAAAGAGATTTTTATTTACTGATATTTATTTTTATAATTATATTTTTATTTTTTTTTTTTTAAAATAAAAAATTTTGCATACATTTTAAATCTTTTTAATATAGTATTTGGTATTATTAAATCTAATTAATATTTTGATAAAAGAAATCCATTTGTATATTTTATAATAATTCAAATTATTTCCTTTTTATTTGTTATAATATTATTATTTTGTAATTATTATAAAGATTTTTATATTAACTTTTATTTAAAAAGTAATATATAAATAAATTTAATATAATTTTATAATATAATTTTAATTAATTAAAAATAAATAAAATTAAAGATAAAACTAAAACTAAAAATGTATAGAATTAAAAAAGTTGAAAAATAAAAATAAAAAAATAATTAAAATTAAAATAAAATTCAAATTAAAATATTATCTTAATACAAAAATATAAAAAAATAAAAAAATTAAAAAAATATTTCAATTAAAAAAAAAAATTTAAATAGAAATTTTAAATAGAAATTTAAGATAAAATTTAATTATACAAATAATTAGTTGTTTAAATAATATATAAAATGTACCATTTTAGCAAAAATGCCTAAGCAAGGTATTATATAAAATTTAATTGATTATTATTTATTTATATTATATTATAAAAATTAAAGAATTTGTGTAGAATTTTTTTTAAAATTCTGTAATTATATAATATAATTAATGTAAAAGTAAAGTTATATAATTTTAAAAAATTATTTATATAATTAGTTTAATTATAATATGCAACTTTTTTAAATAAAAAAAAATTTTAAACAAAAACTTAAAATAAAATTTAAAAAAAATCTAAAAAAAAATCTAAAAAAAATTTATTAAAAAAAAAAAATTAAATGTTAGTTATTATAAAATGTAAAAACAGTTAACTTTTTTCTATACTATTTAAATTTAAAATTACTAATTCCAAATTATATTGAATTTTGACAATATGTATAATAAAATATACTTAAAGAAAATTGACTACTGTATATATAAAATTATACTAAAAAATGTATTATAAAATTATATTTTTAATAATTATTAAAAAATATTTTTAACAATTATTAGTAAAAAAAAATACAATAGAAAAAACTTTAATATTTATCAATTATATTTTATATAAAAGTATTATAATGCATTTTTTAATATAAAGATTAGAACCAATTGATTAATTAACTAATTAAGATGGTTAATTAGTTAAAATATAATTTCAGCTAAATTATTTAGTATTTAATGCAATATAAAAATGTAAAGTTTCAATTTTTCAATTTTTTAAATTTAAATAACAAAAAATAATAAAGGAGATTAATATTTTTATGATTTTTTAGAAAGAAAAATAAAGTTTGATGATCAACAGAAACATTTGCACAAAAAAAATTATCATAATGATAAATATTTAAAGTATTTTAACTGAAAAGTTAACAGTTGACTTTTTTCTGCGAGACTTTAATTTATAATCCGGATACTTTTCTTTATGAAGATTATCGATATCTTTAGCTAAATTTTCGAAATATTGTTTTGTTTCAACGGAAATTATTTCTTTCCAGATTCTTCCCGTGAATTGTCTTGATAATATTAATATTCGTTGTTTATCATAATCATATTTTTCGCAAATATTTTCAGCAATCTTTCTGATGCCAAAATTCATGAGTTGATTCGAACATAATATATTTGAATTAGGCGGTCTTTTGGCGCGACCGTTCTTTTTTTCGGATTTCGGTAGGAATTTAATTGCGTTCGGGATATCGTCAATTTTAATCGCATTAAGTAACTTGTCAACGGTTTCGTTTATTTCATTTAAATGTTCATCATAATGATTTAAAATATCTTGTTTGTTAGGTACATTTCGTTTTGCGGCCATATCGGGAATAAAACGTGAAAAAATTTTTTTCTTTTTTTTTGAAAAAAAAAACTGGACACAAGGAAAAAAAAAATTGAAATGAGAGAGAATTTCCTCGATAAATTAATTATTTTAGTTTATTGCATAAATATATTTATCAATATTAATAAATATCATATGACAAACTTTAAATGTGAATACAAATTACCCTTTATGTAATTTCATTTTTAATTCCAACTTACTGTAATTAGTACGTCTTGTAATTTGCTTAAATAAGATCGGACCGAAGGAATTTCCTTTTTAAAGAAAATTTTAATTTATAAGTCCCATTATTGTCCGTCCTGGCAAAAAAAATGCGTGGCAAAAAAAAATACGCATTTTTTTTAAAATTCAGATTTGCTGGGGATTTTATCGAAGATCTCGATTATTCATGATGAGTCATGATCTTGAGTAATTATGACTCAAATGTTTAAAAACGTTTTTTAGTATCACTATTGCACAACATTTTTATTAATATAAAATTAGAACAAGCACACAATAAAATTTAAGCGAAAGAATTTAACACATTGTAAATAATAATAAAATTCTGTTGAGGTGAAAAGATAATGATGTTAATTGATTTATTATTTGTACTAAACTTAGGAATTTGGCCAGGGTCAAAATAAAGTATTTACTACCTTTACAACCTGGGTAATTCCAACTCAGAACATAAAGTGCAACTCAGTACCAACTCTGATTTCATAACTTATGTGATTATTTACACAAGAATATTGATAATAAATAAATTGTTTTTTACGTACAGAGATATGATACAGATATAAAAATATAAAAACGGGCGCTAAAGTAACGCCGGAAAGGATTGGCCTAAGTACCAATCATAGCTTGACAAATTTAACGTTCGTACAAGCGCAGTTCCACTTTAAAATTATAAATCAAAAATCATAATTGTTTGGCATTACCGTATTTAACTATATTACAGCAATCATATTATGAACCTAAACATTTATATATACAAAAGATTGCCTTCCTTCCCACCATCATAACTGAGAGAAATTACTGAGTCATGTCAATTTGCGCCAAAAAAAAAAAAATTATCTAATTTTCCTATACGAATATCTGATCTTTCAATCTATAATCGAATATTCTAAATTTGGGAATAAAATAATACTTTTTTTTTTACGTGGGAACAAAATAATATGAGTGATTATTTAAAATACGTTGACACTTAACAGAAAACGTGTGATTGCATACCGTATTAAATTTTTTTTTCGTCTACGTGATTTGTTAATCTTGGTCCAAATTATAGTCCTCTGCAAAATTGAATTGCTATAGGAAAAAAAATTAATAATCTTTAAAAGATTATTTCTATAACTTATAACTTATTATTATTATTTAGTAATATTTTATAATATTTTAAAAATAATATATAAAATCATTATATTAAAAACATTTTTATAATCTATTATTTATAATATTATATTTATTCAATATAACTTAAGCTTATATAACTAATTATATTTTTAAAGAAAATACATACAGTTAAACTTATATGGTGACACCTCTTTAAATACATCCCTCTTAGGATTATAGTAAAAAATAGTAGAATATACATTTATTTTTTATTTAGTAAAATTATTGAAGATAAACTAATTAATTATATATTAAAATTAAATAATAAAAATTTTTATTTAAAACTATCATAATAAATTAAAAAATATTTTTAGATTTTCCAGAATTTTATATGATAATTATTTAATTTTAATCTGTATTATACAAAATAAAATTCAATATAAACTATTAAATTTATATTTGTAGTTTATTTTTTACAAAAAATTGGTTAGAAATTTTTTTAAATTTAGTTTAATATTATAATATCAGTTTAAATTATATATTTTTTATTATTTTATTATTTTGCAAATTACTAATGAATAAATGGGTTTAAAATTTTAATGTATCTGCATTCCTTATTATGTAATTTATTTTTTAAAATTTAATTGGCTAATTATTTATTTATAAATAAATACATATAACTTTTTGGTTATTTTATTTTATTTTTATTTTTTTTTTTTAACTTGAAAATAGCTTTTCTAAAAGTGTTTTCAAATAAAAAAGACACTAAAATAATAATATTTGTAATTTTAAACCCCATATAAAAGTTTAGGTAAACTTTTTAAAAAAAGGAAGAAAATATTAATAGCAATTTAAATAAAAAAAAACTACTAAAATAATAAAAAAACCTAAGAAATTTGTTTTTTTATGATTTTAAAATTCATATTAGATGCTTTTATATTTTTACATATATACTCCCATGCAATAAGTTTAGGACCACCTTATTTTTAATTATATTAATAAAATTTTATTCTTATTTATATAAACATAAAAAATTACCATATTTGCATTTATAAATCATGTAAAATAAAGTTTTTTTTTTATTAGTAAAATTTTAACTCTTTAACTAAAGCAGTTACAGTAAAATAAATACAAAATTCTAATAATTTAGCTAACAATAAAATTATATTCCAAATTTCATGAAAATTGGGTTAGTAGTTATCAAGAAATTAATAATTAAGGATTGATAATTTATATATAAGACCTAATAAATAATGATTTTCATATATAAATTGTCGATTCTTAATTGTTAATTTCTCAATAACTACTGATTCGATCTTTACGAAATTTGAAAATATAATTTAACTATTTAAATTTTGTGTTTATTTTTATTATAATCATTCTAATTGAAAAGTTAAAAATTCATCATTGAGAAAAAAATCTTGTATTATATGATTTATAAAAATCAATATGATAATTTTTTATATTTATTCAAGAAATTACAATATAAAGAATTTTTTTAAAAAAAAAACTTATATAAATAAGAATAAAATTTTATTTAATATAATAAAAATAGAGTAGTTTTAAACTTTTGGCATGGGAGTGTAATAGCATTACCTTAGAACNAAAGAATCACCTAAAAAAAAGGTAAAAGTACCCATAAAAAGAAGTTTCTTTAATAAAAGTATGAAGGAAAAAGAAAGAAGGGAGGGAGAAAGAAATAAGAAAAGAGAAGGAAGAAAGAACAAAGGGAAAAAGGAAGGAAAACGTGTCTGTAGTCTATTCTAAATTGTGTATCAGTACATGTGATATCTAACTTTTTTTAGTTGTACACAGTAGCTTGTGTAATGGAAAAGTTAGAAATAATATGTAATTATATATATATTGTATATAAAAAAAATAATCACGTGTGTCATAGTGATTGATTAAACTTTTTAGATTTTAAGCTAAAACTCTTTTAAAAGTTTGATCAAACTGTTGAAACTTTCTTTTAATCATTTTTTAATTTTCTTTTAAAGGTTTATCGAAACTTCTTTTTTTTTTTAAAAAAAAAAATTTTGATTAAACTATAAAAGCTTTTTTAATTAATTAATTTATTTTTTTAATCAAACTGTTCTTTTTTAAAAATTTAACTTTTTTAGTTTCAAAATTTCAAAAATTTTTATTCCTCTTTAAATATTATTAACATTTTACATTCTTTTAAGTGGTTCTTTAAGTTTCCTTAGATATGAAATTTAGGTAAGTGCAAATTTTATACTTTTTTTTCTTTATTCCATCTTTTAATAAATATTACTGACTTTTTTTTTTCTTTTAAGACAGTTGGATAATTATATATATATATATTTTTTATTTCTTTGAATTTCAGTGAGTTCTTCTTTATTTTTCTTTAAAATACTTTTAACAAAATGGCATTAATATTTATCTTTTTTTTTTCTTTTTTTAGATGGATTTATTAAGTTGAATGTTAATGAGATACCTGCTGGTAAGCAAAATTGATAGTAGGGCTACTACTAGAAAGTAAGAGTCAGAGGAATGGCTGGAAGAAAGTAAGAGAGGAGAAAGTAGGTGATATAATGTTATAGGGGAGCAAGTCCATTTACTATTCTTTATCTGCAAATGAATTTAAAAATTCAGTTCAGAACAATCAGGTGATATTGTTGTCTAAATCAAGTTCCCACCTTGTTATAGTTGTGTCATCAGGGGTGCTATGTCAACGGAAATTTAGTATGTTGATCGCTTAAAAATCCACAGCTATCCAATTATAACAAGAGGATTAATAGTTTTTAGATAATTTTATTTCAATATAAATTTAAAATTAAATTAATTCTACAGCACATTTTATTTTAAAATACTTCTTTGCTGAAACCTAAGAATTTAATACTGCTAAGTCACCTACTAATTACCTAAATGCCGTCTATTAGTAGATGTAAATTTAAGTTTAAATAATACAATTAGGTTACCTTTAAGGTAACTTAACTTTTTTCGATAAGCAACTTTTAGGTAAAAGTTTGTAAAAGTTATAGGTAGCTTATTAAATTATAAATAAGCAACTTGTAATTTACCTATAGGTAGTTTAATAATTTACTAATTAGCAGCTTTTACAATATTTATAGGTTACTAAGTATTTGTGTGAGTATTAAATTACTAGACCACCTAATGGCGGCTATGCAACTATATTATAGCAATAATATAATAAATACAGTAAGTAATAAACTAAACAGCCGTACAATAAAAATTGATTTTTAAACCAATAATTCTCTCTATTTGTATTACTTTCATCACGTATAAAGTATACAGGGATGATGATGACTTTATTAGTTTAACTTTGGTTCTACAAATTGAAATGAGTCAGAACTAACGGAAAGTAATATCACATGATTTCTTGGCAAAATTATTATTCAGAAAATTCTTATCGGAAGTTGTTTTAACTGGAAATTTCCATTTGAATATTTTTATGTATCCGAATTTTTCTGATTTTTACGCCTTTTGCTTGAAGAAAATTTCATATAGACCCAACCTTCATAAGGATCGTATTGCCTATTATTTATAAAAACAATACTAAGCATTACCTGCATTGTAAGAAACGACATAGAGGAAAAAGAACACAAAAATAAAAAAAAAGAAATAGTTTCTAACTAAATCATATATCTGTATTTTTTTCATCTACCAGATGTTATACGTAAATACTGCCAGGTATAGAATGTTGCATTTAATAAAGAGTCAATTGTTGTGTTTTATAGTGTTGAATTATTCATGCGCCGGTAGATGACAGTCACTACAAATTCAGCAGCAGATATATACGAGTTATCACTCATGGTGGTATGTGAATCCACATCCAGAGAAGGTGTTCTACGTAAAAATAAGTCAGAAGCATTAATAAGCACCTGGTCTTGTTCAGAAATAACATAATGTGCGTTAGTATTGGATTTAGTGGTAACATTTTCTATATAATAATTCTGGTGTTGTTGGTATTGTTGTCTAAGCTCTAAAGCTTTTTTGTATCCATTATTGTATTGAGAAATGGAACTGACATTAAAATGGCGTCTGATTTTGTAGTCAAACAGATTGATGTTATAGGTGTTTCTGTAATAAACCGGTAGTAAAAAAGGTAAAGATATTTCTTTTTGTTACACTTTTTAATATTGCGCAACCAAATTTTCTCCTGCTGTTGAGCCTATTTATCTATGAGAATGGAAGAATAACAAAATGGTGGTGATTTGAGATATATTTCAAATTTTTCAGGTATGTGTTAGATCTGTTTGAATACTGTTGGATTAGGTAGACATGTCATATAATATTTGAGTATGACAGGTTTGGTTGTGTTGCTGTGGACCTCATAGCTAAGAAGCTTTTTGTGAGACGATTCTAATATTTTACTTGTTTGGGCAAGTGATGACATCGAATTTCAATTTTGAATATTGTTTGAGTATTGTCTTTAAATATTAGACTTTTTCATGGCTTTTTTCAATTCAGGGTTGCATTCTCCTATGTAGGAAGTATATCTCTTAATAGTAACAGTATAACCAACACCTAAACAGTTGGAGTGAACTTCTTTGACGTGCAGCTGTTTATTTTGACCGCTATAGGACATTTTTTTCAATAGTTGTTCTTTGTAAGGTACCTACTTTAAATAATATACGGAAAAATAATTACAATAATACTTCAATTTTAAATATGTGTTAGAAATTAGTAAGTTATTTAACAAAGTAACGCGTAGGTTTCTCATTAAAGAATTATGTAAATATATACCTTTAATTGATTCAATTCTAACATTCATTTTTTTAAATTTATTCAATATTTCATAGATAATTGGTCCTCTTTATTCCAGCAATTTTTATAAAGATTTTCATATTCAATTGGTGTACCAGGAATTGTAATTTTGCGAGTTAGAATTGGGACCTTGCACTATATGGTTAACACCAAAAAAATGATATTGATTGATTTTTGTGTGGTGGTGAGTCCCACAGGCTCAACGTCTTTTTGGCATTTAATTGCTTTTTTGGAATTATAAAGAGTACCGCATCCATGTGTATCACAAGTTGTGTAAGGGTTGATCAATTTTGTAGTGTTAGTGAAATAATGGACCTTACAAGGTTGGTAAAGATGAAGAATGGCATTAGAGGCCTGTATAGGCGGAGAGGTATTATCTTCGGATATAGTTATCTTCTGAGAAGACTTCGTGGATTTGTTGGAAAGAGATAGTGGTTCCTATAAAAATAGCACTGAAGGGAAGTAGGGTTGTTTCTAACGTTTAAGCATGAAGAGCAACAGGAAAAAAAAAATGTAAAGTTGTTTGAGTATAGAAACTCTTTCTAGTTAACTGGAAATGAACATTTTTTGTTATATTTAAAGAAATAAATGTCTAATATTGTGAAAAAAATTTTGTTCCAGAATATTTGGGAAAGAGTTTCGCTGCTGAAACTCTTCTGTACACTATTTGCAAATTCCAATTCCTTTTTTGTTGACGTCCCTTCCAATTCACGTGACCTTGTAGTATTGCTGTGGTCGTTCAGTTGAGATGAAGAATTATCGTGGTAATTTTTTCTTCAAGATATGTGCACTCCACCTTATTATAAAATTTATAATATTTATTGTTTGGTTTGAGAATGGCTTTCGCATATCTTGTGAAAATACTTCTGGTATTACATCCCAGGTACCTGTAGTCTTTTTGGTAAACTCTTGAAACTCCTTTGTCTTCAGCATATCGTAAGTATGTTGCAAATACCTCTTCTCAAAATCAAAATCGTCAAACTCTTGATAGAACTCTATTATAAATTGTTTTCCCAACATTATATCTGTATTTTTTGACATGTTTATATATAGTTTGTATATAATATTTGTATTTTTGTTGAATATTTCTTTCGCTAAAAATTGGTATGAAAGATCATCAGAAAGAGTTCCTGTCAACCATTATTTTGATCAAATAAAAATCTTAATATTATTAACAATAATGATGCTTCAATAAGTGTAACAATAAAGGCATAAGAACTAAGGCTTTATTTTAATCAAAATCGTTTGAAAGAAATTTGTTAACAATTATTTTTCCCTGATCTTAAATTTTTTTTTCTTATTAACAATAATAATTTTATATTTCAAAGTAAATTATATATAAAAGTTTACTTATTAATATACATAAAAGTTTATTTGTTAAGTATACACAAAAGTCTAAATTATTCGTCTAATAAGCTTAAATAGACTTTTCTTATAACCTTATTTTTTATCTACTTCTATATGCAATACCTGAATAGATTAGTACGATAAAATAAAAAACTTTCACGCTAGTTTTACTTCATAATTTCATAATTTTAAATATTTTCGAGCATTTTAAACTTTAAATATTTAAATATTTATTAAAATGATGAGAACATGAAAATCTCAACAAAATACTAAGCCAAATGAAACAGAAGCTGTATTTATTTACAGAATTACACCATATTACGATATTTTATTTATGTTTTTCATTATTGCAATTAGAAGAACGTAAAAGATGGTCATGGCCATGGCAGAATGAATCAACCAATTGAATTAGTAGAATCTTCTGTAAATATTATCAGAAAAAAACTAAAGCAGGTAGTAATCTTAAATATTTTTTATCAATTAATCTTTAAAATTCATAATATTTTTCTGATTATACTAATTGATAGTTTCTTCTGGTTTCTTTATAGAGAGTTTTTTGATTCTTTTAATAGTATTGACGTCTAAATAAAAAAAAACGAAGGAAAGTGAAAGAGAAATGAACGCTTATGGGGATGCAAAGTAACTGACAAAGAAAGAAAGAAACTTGACCGTAAATAAATAGAGAAGAGTGTGCATAGAAATTTAAATGAGAATAGAGGATGATTGAGTAATGCAAATAAATCTTCTGTCTTCCCATCTGGGTTATATTTTCCAAATGGGCAAGTTTTTTTAATTCTTAGCGGGTTGGGTGTGTAATGGTCAAATGAAAAGTTTTTAAAATAAAAGAAATTTTTTGTAAAATTTCACATTGTTTCTAGTTAGGTAAACGAAATTGATAGTAAAATCGGAAGTGTATTTAGACCACTACTAAAGAGTAAGAACTGGAAGAAAATAGGTGATATAATGGTTACAGGGGAGCAAGCCCATTTACTGAGAATACAATAAATAGAGACGTGTCTAAAAATTCAGTTATAGTTGTGTCACCAGAGGCGCTATGTCAACGGAAATTTAGTACATTGATCGCTTAAAAATCCGTGGCTATCCAATTATAACGAATTGACTGTATTTTATGTTAAATTTACAATATATTTATTTACAATATATTTTACAATAATTTGCTATAATTTATTAAATATACGTGTTAATAAATTGTATGATGTAATGATGCTTTTTTAAATATATATTTGGATACTAAGTATTTGTACATATGATCATATTAATAACTAACATCATTCTGTTATTAATAAATTTCTAATAATCATCTTCATTGTTTATTTCGCTACTACTGCAATTTCATACCTAAGCGGCCTAATTTTTACCTTTTTACTTGATATATTAATTTTAAATAATTAAAATTTATGATTATTCTGAGTTTTGGATTATAGGTCACTTAACTAAAATTTATAAAATAACATAAAAGAAATATTTATAAATAAATAAATTACAGTTACTTGGTCGCAGCTTATGAAAAGAAAGAAGGCAGTGACTAGGTAGCTTCAAAACTGAAAAAATACGGGTTTCAGTAAAGTGGTATAAAATTCGCTATAAAAATTTTCAAAAATTGTATTTCTTACTAAATAATATTTTATAAAAAAGTCTTAAATTCCTTTCACTTTATTAAAAGATTTTACTTGCTATTTAAGATATCAATAGAATAAAACTAATAAAAAATCTTAAAAAGATGAAAGATAAGTAGTATAAAATTAACTTATTTAAAAAAAGAAAAAAAATCCTATATCTAAACTTACGTTTATATTTATACATATTTTTACAAAAAAAAAAGAACTAAAGTTAAAAATAAAAAAAAACAATTTATTCCTATAAATAGAAAGTATTAATTTTTTTTCTTTTACTTACTAGTTAAGAAATAACTACTGTATATGCTTACAAACTTTTTTAGTTTATTTAACGAAAAAGTGATTAAAAAGTGATTGAGAAAAGAAGTAGTTATTATTGTTAGTTTTGAATATAGTTTGAAATTTTTTTTTTATTTTCTAATAAAACTGGATCATATGAACACAAGTTTAATTGATGTTTATAAAATATAATTTCTGTTAAATAGACAATAGTTAAATTTTATGAAAATTTTAAATTTGGCCAATTTTACGAATTGGCATATATGTATAACAACAATATAAATATTGGTATTATTATATTAGAATTCTTCTATTTATATAGGTAAATATTAAAATTTATATATAAATTTACTTTATTATATATTAAAACTTACAAAAACTTATATTCAAATTTATCTTATAATACTAAAAAATTACTTTTACTTTATCTAATAATAAAACTGAAGACCTTTATCTATTGCATATATAATTTTACCTTAAGCTATTAAGAGACCTAAATTTTTTTTTAATATAAATTTTACCTTATATTTTCAAAAACCTTTATTAAAAATAAATAGTATTCTAATAGTATATATTTAAAAAAAACATAAAAGGTTAGTAATTAAATAAGAAAAACAAAAAAAAAAACAAAAAAAGTAAAATTCATCTTAAATTTTCATTAAAAGAAAAACTAAAAACAGCTGTATTTAAAAAAAAGAAAAATAGAAGCAAAAAAAAAGAAAAAAAAAAGAGGCTTATTTTGAATCTTTATTAAAAATATAAACCAAAACAATCACTTTTAAAAAAGTAAATAAGTTAATAAAAGATAAAAAAAAAACTTACTTATTATCCAATTCTAAAATTAAAAGCAATTATATCTAAAAAACTGATTTAAAAAAAAACAAAAAAAAAAATACAGTAATAAACATATCTAAAAAATAATTAAAAAAATAATTAACTGATTAGTATAATATATGAACATATAATGTAATGTTCAAGCATTTTATAATTTTTATTATTTAATATTATATATAGTATTTTCTTTATAAAATTCAGATATTTTACTTAATATAAAAATTTATTTTAATTAGTATTCTTTTAGTAATTCTATTAATTTTTTAATTATTTTAATAATAATTATATTTTAATTTCTTATATATTTAGTATTTTACAAATATATTTTTGAGTATTATTCAATTTTTAAATTAAATTTTTTATATAATTTAATTTTAAATTAAAATTTAAATACAATGAATTTTTTTTGTAATATACAGTTAATTTTTATTATTATTTTTTTTTTAATACATATATAATTTTGTTTATTAAATAATTTTAAATTTTTCTTTATAATTATTTCTTTTTAAAACTATTAAATAATATAATAATAGTAAATATATTTACATAATATTTGTATAATTATGTGATTTTATATTTTTTTTTTTTTTTTCTGCAGCCAGTATGGTGTATATGATAATTTATTAAAATAAAAAAAGAAATAAAAATATATATAATAAAAATCACTATTTATATTACTCTAATATTATTAATTATCATATTACTTATTATACATGCAAAGAGTACTTTATATACATACTATTAGGTGGTATATTTTATTCAAAAAGTATAATTTATTAAAACAGTCTATCTTAACGCATTACACCTTTTTTTTTATACAAAGATACTATTTATAAATTTTTCCTATAAAGCAAATAAATCCAATCATCTTATATTTAATTTTAAAATTCATAAAATTAACAGTTTTCAATTATAAGTTTTCATTCAAATCATAGAACTAAGTATTGCATAAAGTTGTTTACCAAAAATAAAAAGGTTATTGCCAAAATATTAAAAATATTGATATTTTGATATTATAACAAAATAATGAAATTATTTTATTATTAAAATTAATTAAAATGCAAATAATAAAATAAAAAAATAATTTTGACAATTTTGATATGACAAAATTCACTAATTTTAATAAGCAATTTTACATTATATTATAACAATTTCTGAACTGATTAACTATAAGAATTTTATCTACTTTTTTTATTATATAAGTAAGATTTTTATAATTTTATTGTATTATATTATTACAATCAGAAAATTCCAATCAGAAATAAAATAATAATTAAAATAAAATTTCATAATATAATTCTATAAAAAATTTTCATTTATTTAATATAAGAAATTTTAAAAAAAATAATTTTAATATTTATTAGTAATTATTTA